ACTAGAACTAGCCTAACTAACCTAAACTTTAAAATTTTAAACAATATAGCAATGTGACATAACTGCATTCTTGAGACTATGGCACTAGAACTAGCCTAACTAACCTAAACTTTAAAATTTTAAACAATATAGCAATGTGACATAACTGCATTCTTGAGACTATGGCACTAGAACTAGCCTAACTAACCTAAACTTTAAAATTTTAAACAATATAGCAATGTGACATAACTGCATTCTTGAGACTATGACACTAGAACTAGCCTAAATAACCTAAACTTTAAAATTTTAAACAATATAGGAACGTGACATAACTGCATTCTTGAGACTATGACACTAGAACTAGCCTAAATAACCTCAACTTTCAAATTTTAAACAATATAGGAATCTGACATAATGGCAAGTAAGAAAAGGTTAGGTGTGTGTACAAGAAAATTGTATCTCCTAACATAGAGTGACTGGAATGTAAAGAGAGAAAAAAAAATTACTAAAACTTATAATTCTAACACTATTATTCTTTTATTTTACTTTTGTAGTTCACCAGTACTTGTGTCACGCTCGTATTTTGTCTATTGAGATAAAAGCATTATTTTACTTTTGTAGTTCACCAGTACTTGTGTTACGCTCGTATTTTGTCTATTGAGATAAAAGCATTATTTTACTTTTGTAGTTCACCAGTACTTGTGTCACGCTCGTATTTTGTCTATTGAGATAAAAACATAACATAATCTATTTCTTTGTCGTCTTTTGTTACTGATTATTTTTACCGCACATGTTACTCAGTTCTTAAAACCAGCGCAGTCAGATCAGATAATTTGGTTCATTTCCATTCGGCTGAGCTGCAGTTCTCATAAGTTTATTATCTATGTTTGTTACATTATCTATGTTTGATTTTTCTAGTTTATTTCTTTAATTATTTAGTGTGAAATATGTTAACTTTTCAAAGAGTAAAATTCACTCCAGATAAACGTACAAGTACGATATAAATAATGAACTAGGGATAAAATGGTAATTCTTTTATCGAGAGACAGTTCTGAATGCTTGCTATACATAGAGAGAAAAAATATAACAATTAGGATATGTTCATTTAATCACCGGTTATTATTAAACATTCAGCATTTTTATTTGTCTGTTTAACATAAAATCGACACTTTTACTTTAGTTCATTTAGTATAAACCCTTTGTTAAATTGATAGTTTGTTTGTCATTATTGTTCTATAATTATTAATGTATAATAAATTACATTAAAACCAGTTTTTTACATGTATGTGTATAATCACTCATTTCTTTACTTCTGAATAACAGTAAAGATAACTGTTTAGTGTATGACTGATTTCAGGGCGAGAACTTGAACTTTGCCCACACTCCTAAAGATGTGATTGTAATGATTCAAGGCAGCAAAAGGTGTAACGTTACTGTGATAACAAGAAGTAGCTTGTTGTGTAGACTACCACCTCATGACATTCTACCGAACGAACCACTGAGAAAAGTTGAGGTTAGTTAGGCTAGTTCTAGTGTCATAGTCTCAAGAATGCAGTTATGTCACATTGCTATATTGTTTAAAATTTGAAAGTTTATGTTATTTAGGCTAGTTCTAGTGCCATACTCTCAAGAATGCGGGAATATTTTCATACACACATAACGCTTACCGTATTTTTCGGCGTATAAGACGCACTTTTTTACCCCAAAATTTGATGTCAAAATCTGCTTGCGTCCTATACACCGAAGGTATGAAAAATAGATATATATATATATATACGATATACACAAGCCATGTGTAAATATATTTAGATAGGCATGCATAGTTTAGTTCAATTGAATGTTATTTATGACAATAGTAAAGTTGTTTTTTTAAAAAACATAACTATCTATAATGCTCCCTAAATAATAAAAATAAATTACAGTG